CAAATCAGAACAGCCTTACGTGTGGGATCACAGTATTGCCCCACCACATCTACCTTGAGAAAGTTTCACTAATTCCTCCTCCTCCCTATCCCTGCTGGCTTTGGACCATGATCCTCCTATAGCCACTTCCCAAATAACTGAGATTATAGGTGTAAGCCACCACACCTGTCCAGAGGGGTACTTTTTTGTTTTTCAAGAATACTACAGTTAGGGTGGGGGGAGGGAAGTAGAATTATAACAAGTTAAAATATACAAACCTCACTATTCTTACTAAAAGTTATCCTGTTTTGAATGAACATATCCTAGATTGCTGTAAGCCATGGGTTAACTTCCAGGATGTTAAATTCTTTGATTCCCAGAGAATTTCATTGTTAGTCTTTTCATTGCTTTTATGGAAGATAGAATTTTCAGAGGCCTTAACTCAATCATTTCCCTCTTACTCTCAAATCCAGTTCAGATGTTTTCTCCTTTGTGAAGCCCTCTTGCCAACTTTGTGTTGGTGCCTCTGTAATTTTACTTTTTACAAATAACTGTTACTTTTTTTTTTTTTTTGCCAGATCTGGGGCTTGAATTCAGGGCCTGGGCACTGTCCCTGAGTTTCTTTTGCTCAAGGCTAGCACTCCACCATTTGAGCCACAATGCCACTTCTGGCTTTTCCTTTTTTTTTTTTTTTTGGGTCCAGTCGTGGGGCCTGAACTCTGGGCCTGGACGCTGTCCCTCAGCTCTTCTGCTCAAGGCTAGCACTCTACCACTTGAGTCACAGCACCACTACCAGGTTTTTCTGCTTATGTGGTGCTGAGGAATCGGACCCAGGGCCTCCTGCATGCAAGGCAAGCGCTCTACCACTGAGCCACCTTCCCAGCCCCTGGCTTTTCCTTTTTATGTAGTACTGAGGAATCAAACCCAGGACTTCATGCATGCCAGGCAAGCACTTTACCACTAAGCCACATTCCTAGTCCTCCTTTCATTTCTTTAAGATAAGGTTCACTATATTCCCAGCCCCATAACTGTTACTTATATCTACTACTATCTCTCAGCCCACAGGCTCCAGGCCTGTGAATTATTCAACCCCTCTGCCCAGACACACTGATGACATGTGTATTATGTTTGCAGGTATTATGTTGATAGACTAAAGTGTGTTGTCTCAGGAGATCTCAGACCTTAGCCAGGGTATTCTCAGCTTTAGCCACTTTTACTCACTTTTGTAATTTATAAGTGATCCCTGTCTTTTCATTATACTGTATGTGGAGACCTCTGCATCATAACTCAAAGCCCACAACTAAGAGTATGAGGAAAACAGGGAACAAGCCAGGGGTGAGTTTCAACGGTAATAACGACTATCTATACCAGACAACAGAGTAAGAGCTTCACATCCAGTATCTCATTTCTAACTCCATGCCTGGGAGGTGGGTACTCTTATCTTCCTTCTTTCATGTGAGGTTGACTGAGGAAAGTAGGAAAGTTGGAGTTAGATGAAAACCTGACTCTGATGCCCATATTCTTAATGGTTTCCTTGGTGGGATACGAGAGGTGATTGGAGGACAGGAAGCCACACCAGTCTTGCTCTCCTCTGGGACTGTCCTGTCTTCTTTACAGAGATATGACTCCCAGGTATTTTCAGTCCGACTGTGCCCTGTGAGTCCACCTTATATTGGAAAGCAGATAATATTGAAAGCTTCCGTAGCAACTGTCTTTTTCAAGGTAGAGAGGCCGCACTTGCTAGCAATGAAGTGACAGGTATAACTCTGAGGAGAGAGTTGACAACAATCCCTCATCGTCACCCCGACAACTCCAACATGGTGACAGTCCCAGACTGCTGGAAAAGCCAACCCACACAGAGGGGTGATGTAATCTACAGGGCTCAGAAACATTTCAACAAATGCTAATATCACTGTCTCCAGTACAGCCCTGTCAGCAGGAAGGGGGAATTGTGTTAGCATACGTGAGGCACACTCTTTGGCACAAGGGACCTGGTTGCTAAGCAACAGTACTTTGCTTCCCCTCCTCCCCATAACATTTTTCTCTGTTAGCCCAGCCCTTGGCCCCCTTCCCTGCAACAAGGGGCCTATTCATGGGACCTGAGCAGAGTTCATTGTCTCTCTGGTACGTATCTGTGTGAGTGTGTGTGTGTAGGGGGGACAAAGAGAGGGGCTATGTGTGAACCAGGAACACTTCATGTTCCAACCAAGTTCACAGAAGACAGGAGAAGTGGCCTGCCTAGCAGATCCTGAAGACTAATATCAGGGCCATTGACCCTCATGGTAAGGCTATGCCCCTGTGCCATCCCTGCTCTGACCTCATTCTCTGTCACCTTTGTTCTGGGATTCTGGGCTGGTGGAAAGCGCCGCCTCATGCAGCTCTGGGGCAGTGGCTGGATCCTCACGGAACCCTGTATGGTTAGCCTCCTGCTTTTTCTCTTATCCACCTCCTGGACCTAGTAAAGTGCTTTACACCTGGGGAGTATCGAGCAAATCAATATTGCATTAACTCCTACTCCAAAGAAAACCAGGGATTCCTGTACCATGAAGAGCCATGTTTTCATAGGCAGTAGGTTTTGAGATGGAGACACACCCTAGATGAGGCCACTTTGTCCAGAGTCTGGGCTTAAGGCCTAACTCCTGGAAACCGAGAGGGGAAAAAACGCTGGGCATACCATAGAAATTCTTTCTAGATCATGCCCTTGCCTCTCTTCTCAGAGGGACATTAGCTCAGGAGATAGCATATTCCCAGGGATAAAACTGAAATCTCAGACATCCTTCCTGCTCCAAGTCTGTGTTCTTGCCTGCTCTCCCTAGTTTGCAGTCCTTTCTAGAGGGAGTACCTGGGGTGTAAGCCACGATCCACACTTCTGGAGAAATAGGGCCTGTTTCCAGTGTGTGTGAGACAGTCCTAAAGGTCTCAGTATGGTGGGCATAGGGATGGGGAGGTGGGGCTCCAGGGGGGCTGCTGCCCCAGCTGTGAGCTGATCTGGTATGGGTGCTCCTGGCTCCAGTGAAAAGATTTTCAGACCAATTGAAGGAAGTTGTGCTGGGCGAGTCTAAGAGAGGCTTTCATGACCATTGGCTGGGGTCAGCTCAATGGAGCACAGAAGCAGGACTGAGGAGGATTTCCATGAAGGAACATTCTGTGTAACATTGTGAAGCTCACATCTGAGCGAACATTGCTTTGGGGCCAGGGTTTAAGGCTTTTATGATGACTAGGGACAAATGTATGTGTGGCCAGCAAAAGGCGACCTAAGGGGGAGATGTGAGCCACTCTAGGGTTGGTTTGTTTATTTGTAGACAGAGTCTTGTTATATAAGTCAGAGTCTTTAAACTCATGACCCTTTTGCCTCAATGTTACAAGTGCTGGGATTATAGAGATGAACCACCATTGCTAGCTTGAGTCACTTCAATGTGTGTGTATGTGTGTGTGTGTTTGAATTAGGCCTAGTCACTGTCCCTGAGCTTTTCTGCTCAAGGCTAACACTCAACCACTTGATCTACAGCTCCACTTGTGGCTTTTTGGGGTGCTTAATTGGAGATCATAGATTTTCCTGCCCAGGCTGTCTTCAAACTGTGATCCTCAGATCTCGGCCTCCTGAATAGCTAGTGAACTACTCAAATCACTTCAATTTTAAGGAATCTTACTCTACTAGATTCTTAGTTCCCTAAGAAAGGGTTTACAACCAATTTGTACTCTTTATTAATATTATTATGGACATTTGCATGGTACTTTAGAATTTATAAAGCCATTTTGATCACATAATCTTGTTCTCCTTTTTCTCCTCCCTCCCACTTCCCTCCCTTCCCCTCCCTTTCCTTTTGCCTTGCTTTCTTTCACTCGACGTACTCTATCTGAATTGCCTTTTTGTGCCCTGTGTGCCTTGGGATACATAGACTAGAGAGGAAGGAAAGAGAGAGAAGTAAGTTGAGCACCAGACAGGACCACAGTAGAGCTTTGTGAGCTGAGCAAAGCTCCCTGAAGAAATGACCTCCTCTCTGAGTCTTAGACAGTCAGCAGGAGTCAGCTACATGGGGAAGGGAACAGCAGGTTTGGTGCGGGTAATCTGAGAAAGCCTAGAGATTCGAGGAACAGCCTGCATGTCAGCGGCTGGATTCAGTATGGAGGGAGCTTTTAGCTTCAAACTGTTCAATGCTTTTCCAAAATCTTATGTTTCATTATTCTTCTTCGTGTCTCAAGCATTTCAGATATACATATGACTCACCCTGCTGTATGTGTTCTTACTGCTATGCCTTCGCCTATTCAGGCCTCTTGGTCTGGATGACTCAATACTGAATTCTTGATATAGATAACAGCTTTCACCCTGTTCATCATGAGCACCTGTCTCAGGCTGCGTCTTCTAAGAAGTCCTTAATCGTGTCAGTGAGAAGTAAGTTCTTATTGTTTTGAATGACAGTGGTAATTAGTTGAGTTCTTTTGTTTGGCAGGGAGGAAGGGATGTCTCTGTATTCCACTTTGTTTATATAACTTATCTTTGAGAGAAGACAATATTCTTTGAGGCAGTGGCAGAGTAACCTACGTTGATGTATCCTGAATCCTCTACACACTGTAAATAGTGGTCTCTGTACTCTGGCTTAATGATATTTGCTGCATGAATGAATGATGTGTGTGTGTGTGTGTGTGTTTGTGTGTGTGTGAGAGAGAGAGAGAGAGATGTCTGGCGTGGAATGTTGAGAGACACCATCAGATGCCCTTTATGCTTGTTGAAGCAAAGACAAGGGTGTGGGAGTGGGTTAAGTCTGGATTCCATTTTTTATTCAGATACTTATGGCCATCTGAAAGTAAAATGGGGGGGGGCTCCAGGAGAGCAGAAGGGAGCTGGAGGGGCAGCTTGGGGAGCACATAGGGATGGATGAGGTAAACAAAGCCTTGTAGGTAGCAGCCAAGGGAGGAAAGGCTGAGATTAGAGAGAGGGGGCTTGGTGTGGGCTGGGTCTTCTCTAGGCAGCCCTTGATGTGGGGATCCTGAGATTCTGACAACTGTTTCCTCAGAACCCAATGCTGAATGATCTTATGGAGGCTCAATGCTCAGACGCCCCAGGACCTGGGATCTGCAGAGCAGAGCCAGGAGACCAGCAGCAACCTAGTAGGTCATATTAGCCGAAGGGGAGTGACAGAGTGGAGGCCTCCTTGTGTCAGCCCCACACGGGGCTCCCTGTTTCCCATTTTGGGGGTTGAATGGGCTCAAGAGGCTTCAGGGAGCTCTCCTCAACTCCACATACCCATGCCTAGGGGGTGAAGTGAGGCTCACTGGCAGAAGCAGAGAACCCAGAAAGCCCTCTGCCTTCTTCCACAGTCTCTCAGGCAAGGTGCTGGTGCTCCCTGCGACGTGGCTGCGTGGTGCTGGCGGCCCTGACGTTGTTGGCAGGAGCAGGTGTCGGCTCATGGCTTCTAGGTCAGTGCTGGGAGCCATTCTGTGGTCCAGAGAGGGATGAAAGACAGGGACCGGGAGAAGCTGGAAGAGAGAAGTAGATGCTGAGCAAGTATCAGAAGATGGGATCTATGTCTTCCTTGCCTATTCTATAAAGACAGCAAGGGGAGAGGGGGTGAAATTAGCAGGCCAGCCTTAAGCTTCCCCTGTTCAATGTGTTAGTCCTATAGTTCCAAGTTACTTGAATGACAATTCAGGGAAGTCCCAGTCAGACTTTTTCTAGAAATCTTTGCCAATGATAGAGACATGGGCAGAGACAGGCAGAGAGAAAGAGAAAGGCAGTCAGACCAAGATAGACAGAGAGACCATTCCGTGCTCATCCTTAGAGGTTGGTTGGGGTCCTGCCTAAAGGGCAAGTGGTTGGTGGAAGTCCCTAGGTAGAAGATCTGCCTCTGCTGAAGGAATGTCTTGTTCTGTGCCTTGGGCTTCTCCTAGGGGGAGGGTCCCTCCCTTTCCCTAGCCTCTTTTCTGTGAACCTCTCTTTTCCTTCTGTGAAGTACTGTATCTGTGGCCAGCTGCCTCCCCGTCCGCTTCCACCTTGCAGGATGAGGAGATGACTTTGAGCTGCTCAGGTATCAGCAGTGAGGAAGCTCTGCTCCCTGTGATTCCCAAAACAGGTGGGTCACCCCCTTCCCAAGGCTAGAGAACTCCCCCACCCCATCACCCAACCCAGAGTCCTTTACAGTTCTAGGAGCAACAAACAAAAGGCTGAGATCTGAGGATTAGGATTTGAAGCCAGCCCAGGCAGAAAAGTACTCTTATCTCCAATTAACCATCAGAAAATCAAGTGTGGTACTGTGGCTCAAAGTGGTAGGGCACTGGTCTTGAGCATAAGAGCTCAGGGACAGTGCCAAGGCTCTGAGCTCAAGCCCCATGACTGACAAAAACAAAAACAAAAAACCCACAAAGGGTTGTGAGTTCACTACTAGCTACTAGTTTCCCTACTCTGGTATGAGGGTGGCTCAAGTGCTAGGTAGCAGCATTGCTCTCTGATTTGATGCTCTTGTACCAGGGGACTGTCCTGATCATTGGTTGGGACATGGCATGGAAACTTGTCATATGTAACAAGGATGCCAATGTACATGTGTGGGAGGGGCGGGGGGCGGTAGCACTTTGTGACCAGCAAGGCCACCTAGGCATCTGGAGATATCACTTCACATTGTCCCCTGCCCTCTCCTGTATTGTCCTCTACCTTCCAGGTAAGAGATGAGGATCAGAAAGCATGATGCTGCTGTGAGACTGGGGCTTAGAATCCATTCTAGAAATTAGAACAAGGTTAGAGTCTTGCTTTTGCTAGTTACAAGACCTTGGATACATTCTTTCTTTGAGTTTTATTTCCTTCACTCTAAAATGGGGATAATAATATTTACTATGCAAAGTTGTAAAGATAAAATATATGAAATATAGAAAAAGAGCTTAGTTTAGAGCCTATATGTTAGTCTGTTCTTGCTACCATAACAAAAACCTGTACATGGGGTGGCTTAACCCACAGACTCATCTTTTCTCACGGTTTTGGAGACTAAACATCTATCTAGGTTTATGGTGCTGGCGATTTGGTTTTCATGCTGTGTTTTCAGTATCTTTCAGAATAAACAGTGAGAACTCCCTACTGGAAGTACAAGTGAGGGCCTGGCCAGGCTGGTTCCTAGTCTGCTATGAGGGCTGGAACCCCAGCCTGGGGCAGCAGGTCTGCCGGAGCCTTGGGCATCTCAGGTAATGGGAAGCAGGCCTGGGGCCCGAGGAGGAGGAAGGCTGGCTGGAGGGTAGGGAGAAGTAGAGTCGGAGACTGCTGTATGCTTGTTAACATCCAAGTTCTCATTCATTCTGGTCCTCTGGTACCCCAGCCTGTTCCTGTGTCAGAAGTTATGGTCATAGTCATGGCACTGGTTGGCTATCTCATATATTTTAATTACGATTATAATTAACCTGTATCTCATGTTATAGTCTAAAGCTGATTTCTTGTTCTTTTTCCTTCCTTTGCCAAGACTCATTCACCACAAGGGAGTGAACCTGTCTGACATAAAGCTCAATAGCTCCCAGGAGTTTGCTCAGATCTCTTCTAGGCTGGTAGGCCTCCTGCACGAGGTGTGGCAGCCCAGGTATGGTGATCTTCTTCCTTCTTCCTCCTCCTCTTCTTTCTCTTCCTCTTCCTCCTCCTCTTTCCATGCTCAAGATCAAACCCAGGGCCTCGCATCTGCTAAGCAAGTGTTCTACCACTGAACCACACCTCCACTACCCTGATAAGGTTTAGCAGGGGCCCTGATGGGAAGTACAGAACAATTTTATTTCAGGATAGCCTGGTAGTGAGGATATTGGCAGTATAAGGGGAAGGACAGAGGAACAGAAATGACCAATCCAGTTCACCAGGCCCATTACAGCTACCATATGTTATTTTCCCTTTGCAAGAAATCCTGGGTTGGTTCTTATGGCCAGAGGGTTTGGAAAGATACTTGTACCCCCTGTGTACTAGTTTGTTTTATGTTGTTTTGACTAAATACCCAAGAAAAACAATGTGAGGGAGCAAAGACTTATTTTGACTTATGATTCCAGAGGGTTTAGTCCATGGTTGCTTAGACCCATGGCCTTGAGAAGAGTATCATGGTGACAGGAACCACAAAGAGATAGAGAAGGTATAAAGAGATAGATGAGGTATATTCTTGTGGTCTCCAAGGACACACCTCTAGAGATGTGCTTCCTAGCTAGGCCCTGCTTACTAAAGTTTCCACACCCTCCCACAACAGCACAGCAACTTAGGAGAAGCTTTCAACCAAGGAGCCTGTATGGGGGATGCTTTGTATTCAAACCATAACATTCTGTGGCTGGCCTCCAAAGGTTCATGGCTGCCTCATAATGCAAAATGCATTGAGTACATTGGGGATAGGACTCTCCAGGAGGTTCCAAAGTCTTTTAACAGTCCCAACATTGAAAGCCTGAAGTCCAAAGTCTCTTCTGAGACTCAAGGAAAACTCTGAGCAGTGAGCCTCTATAAAATAAAAAAAGGAAAATGCAAACTTCCACGGCAGAAGGGCACAGAAGAAACATTTCCATCCTCAAAGGGAGGGAGGTGGACACAGAAAGGCAGCATGGGACCAAACCAAGATGTTCTTCTAGTAGCCCTAATGTCTGGATCTTGACCGTTTCTGGTTTCCCGAATCCACAGCCCTCCTGTTCTCCTGGAGAGGGGTCTTACCCCTTCCTTGCTTTCCCATTCAGGAATCTGAGCCTGGAAAGGAACATGGGGTGAAGAGCTGTATTCACTAATGCACTCACTACTCATTCATTCATCACATGTTTTTTTCATTTAGTAGAAACAGCTGGGCTTTCTCATCTATAGATACTCTATAAATTTGGGCCTTCTCAAATTGATCTGCTAGGATTGTGAAGCTTTCTGTTGTCTTCTGAAAGATTAAGAAGAATGCACACTGCTGTCTTGGGCACTGGTTGGGAGAAAGCGCCCGAGCTCTAGGGTGGGAGAGGAAGACAAAGATGGTAGTTTTAAGTTGGTGACTACATGTCACTGTCTGCCTTCTCCTACCAACCCCCTGTCCTTAATACCCTTGGATGTATGTGGCCTTGCATTGGTCCTGTCCAGCTTCTTGCTGGCCCCTCTGTTTTGCAGAGACAACTGTACTTCTGGCCGAATTGTTTCCCTCAAATGCTCTGGTGAGTCATGTGTTGAACTCAGGAAGGTGGCAGTGGGAAGAAGAACCACTATGGGAGGCTCAGCTGGGTCTGGGTGGAGGGGTCTTGACCTGCTGCATTTCTTCTTGCAGATACAGTTTGCCCAAACAGAGTCATCTGAAGCCCCTGTCATGTCCCTAGCCATCTGGAGTTGGCTGGGTTGATGATTCCCTATGCCACTATTTCTCCTTTTTGCCTTGGCCTCTGGCACTCACTGCCATGTCCTTCTGGACTGATTCCAAAAGTGGAATCATTCCAAAAGTGGAATCAGTATTGGCTGCAGAGCCACCTGATAGCAGTTTCTGGAGACTAAGGATAGGTGGTAAATTAGAGGTCAAATGGGAGACAGTGTGTGGGGTGCCTCTTGCCTGTCTTCCCATCCATATGTCCACCTATTTATTTAGTTCTTCCTCACATCTATCCACACATTGACACGTTGGCCCCTACTTTGTACTATGGGATAATTATTGGGCCTCCATAGATATTGCAGACATGGTCCCTTCTCTCAGCAAGCTCACAGTCTGTGCTAATCAAACGCCTATCTTTCTGTCTTCCCTTCTTAGGACCAGGAATGGTAACTGAGAGCCATCCATATTGGCTCTCTGGCTTGGTACTCTCTCTTTGTCACCCTTTCTGTTGGCAGAATGTGGGGCAAGGCCTCTGGCTTCCCGGATAGTCGGTGGGCAGGCTGTAGCTCCCGGACGCTGGCCATGGCAGGCCAGTGTGACCCTCGGTTCCCGGCACACATGCGGGGGGTCTGTGCTGGCACCCCACTGGGTGGTGACTGCTGCACACTGCATACACAGGCAAGTGTGGGGGACTCCTGGGGAGGTAAGGGCTCAGTCACCTTTTCTGATTGGCTATTGGTGTGTCCTATACAAGTGTCTATTCCCAATGCAGAGTGATAGTCTCCATATTCAGTGCCAAGTTCAGCTCTGGTGAGTTCTGTGTGAAGATCAGTCATAACCATATTCCTTTGGTTTTTGTAAAATCTTTTGTATTCATAGCACTCTGTGCTTCTTAGCATCTATCTCCACTGTAATTAAATCTTTTCTATGTAATTACTTGTTGAATATCTTTTATTCCTCTTCAGACCAGAAGCACTATGGGAGTATGACTCTCTCAGTCTTGTTTACAATGAATACATTTGTAGATGTTTCCACTATTGGGTCCCTGGGGCCTTGAACAGTTCCTGAATGTAATAGGCAGTAAATATTCGTTGGAATAAATGGACAGATATCTTCTCTTGGTGGTAGGCAGAGAGGAAGGGACAATCTCCATTTTTACAGTGAGGAAACTGAGGTGAATGGGGGAGAAGAGCCTCCACCAAAATCTCACATAGTAAGTGGAGAGAGAGGACTGAGAGAAGTTTGTCTGACTCAGCTCAGAATTTGGGTATTACGTAAAGCCCTTTCATGATTGTTAAGAAACTTGGAAGGCGTTTACACAGGAAGAGAGGGAGTAATGGTTGCAGGTGACCCATACATTTCTCTATCCATGAGTCCTGATGTATTCATTAAACACTTCCTGCTTGCTCAGTGCTGGGGTGATACTAAGTGTCATGATCCTTGGGTAGGGTCCACTAATGTCTTCCCCAGCCAACTTCTACTGTGCTACCTTTCTTCCTTCCCTGGGCTTAGCATGGTCTTTGTGTGCAGTTTCAGGCTGTCCTATCTGTCCAGCTGGCGGGTCTATGCAGGGGTGGTCAGCCACAGTGTTGTCAGGCCACACCAGGGGGCTGTGGTGGAGAAGGTCATCTCCCACCCCTTGTATAGCGCCCAGAGTCATGACTATGATGTTGCCCTCCTACGGCTCCGGACACCACTCAGTTTCTCAGGTGAGGCTTTGGGATGAACAGACTGAAGGTGGTGGTTATAAAGGAGTAGAGCTAGTGGGAGGAGAGGCTAGCTGGTTAGGTTAGCTTAGCTTAGGTTCCCTCCTAACTCCATCAGCTTTAAACTACCCAATGCATTTGGGGACGATAGGGAGTTTGCATTCTCCTGAACCTGAAATTGTATGAGCTCTTGACGGGCTCTTTTAGAGGATGAGCTGTGCACAGAATTTTTTTTTTTGAGGTCCCATGAAGAGCTGCCTTCTCTACCAAGTAGCTGATGACCTAGGCAGGCCCCAGAGCTCAGTCATTTTTGTAATATCTTAAAGAAATTTCTCTTATTTCCCCAAATATCCTCTTTCTTAGTCCTCTTAACTACTCTCTCAGGTAGATGAAACTGGTTTGTACAATGAGGTTAAAGATTAGGGAATGCCTTGAAGTCATGTGACCAGCAGTTCCTGAGCTTGATGTCCTAATTCCAGAGCCAGAGCTCTTGCTGCTGTAGCACCTTCCCTGCCGGGGTGAGCCTCAGCTGCCCCAGTGCATACCTGTGTGTGGACACAAGACCCAAACACTACACCCACAGAAGCATCCTCAGATGCACACCCAATCACATGCTTAGTCACGTGCAATCACATGCACACACTCGTGCATTCACACACGTGAATGCTCACACATTCACACACTCATACACTCACACTTGTATGCACAATCACCCTCGGCACACCCTTCCAGATGAATATGTTCAGCACGCTTTTCATTGTCCCTGAAGAATTGGGTTTCTCAGTTTCACAAGTCTTATCACATGTCTGGGGAGGTCTGGGGGTGGAGCTCTGTGGTTGAGCACTTGCCCAGCAAATTAAAGGACTGCCTTCCACCCCCAGAACCATAAACAAATGAAGGAAAAAAATCTCATCACTAAATGAACTATTACTGAACAGTTAATATTTCTAGAGGAAAACATTCTAGTAAATTGCTAGTAACCACAAAAACCTACGGTGTAAAAATAGGGCAGTATTTAGGTTCAATGCCAGTGTCCTCTGTAGAAGTTTTGAGCCTGGACCTGTCACCTTTAGTTCAGGTGGGAGATTGCAACATTTGGAGAGGGAGAGACTAGTAAGAACTGAGAGGAAATAGCTCTTTCCCTAAGTGGTTATGCCTGTATTACCCACAATCACGCCTAGCTCCACTTTTATGATGTGTAAAGACTTTTGGAAGTGCTGCTGCAAGGAGGATTGGGCCACCTGGGGAAAAGGCCAGTGGGTCCCCATATGAAGTTGGATTTCCTGGGTCAGGAGGGAATTTCCGTTTGCCCTTCAGTGCCCAGGTCAGGCAGGGCAGCAAGTGCATTGACTACCTCTAGAAGGCGCTATGCATACTGCAGTGTGCACATGAGCCTCCTCCCTTGAGGACCCATCCCAAGGCAGGATGGAGCTGAACTGCTTAGCTGTCTAGGAAACCTGGCTTGTGGATATCAGACACCAGAACTGTCAAGATGCTCTGAGGAGGGAGACTCAGCCTGAGTGCGGACCAGGATCATGTGTTTTCCTGCAGACACTGTGGGTGCTGTGTGCTTGCCAGCTGAGGAACAGCATTTTCCAAGGGGGTCCCAGTGCTGGGTGTCTGGATGGGGCCACACCGACCCCAGCCATTGTGAGTCGGTTACCAGGGCCCTTGGTACTGAGCCGGTGGGTGTGGGATGAGGGAGGGAAGGGAGGAATCCTACAGCCACTTTCCCTGGCCACAGCAAAGTTGGCCCCCCTATCCCCAGCATCACCTTTGGCAGTCCTGGGGGACCCAGTCTGTCCAGCCTGTGTCTCTTTCAGGAGAACAACCACTGAACATTTTCTCTAACCCCAGACTCCAGGACCTGGGAGTCTGTGTGAGTCCTGCTCCCAGCCTGATATATGGCAGATGCCCCCTGATCTAGGCCCACAGCTCCTGCCCCAGGCTCTTCCCTTTGGGTCTCCATGCCTCTGGGACTTCTTACTCTTTCCATCTTGCTGCTCAGCCTTCTTGTACTCGCTTAGTGCCCTGCAACCTTTCCCGGTGTCTTCTACAGCCCATGGCTCGGACACGCTACAGGACACCATGGTGCCACTGCTCAGCACTCAGCTCTGCAACAGTTCCTGCATGTACAGCGGAGCCCTCACCCCCCGTATGCTGTGTGCTGGCTACCTGGATGGGAGGGCTGATGCTTGCCAGGTGTGGCCGGTGGCAGAGGGAGGGCACAGGAGGCCAGAATTAGCCTGGCTCTATGGTGTATGCATGTCAGTGGCCTCTCTAGGAGAAGAGCTCATGCTTATGAAGGGAAAAGCTAGCAGCTATCCCAGCAGGTAGCAGGAGAGGCTGGAGAGAGAGTCCATCCCCCAAGTTGATCTGGTGTTCTTCCACCAAGAAGATCTGATTGGCTGTTTCTCTGTGTCTCTGTCTGAATCCCTCAGGGAGACAGCGGAGGGCCTCTGGTATGCCCAGCTGGGGACACATGGCACCTGGTGGGGGTGGTCAGCTGGGGTCGTGGCTGTGCAGAGCCCAATCACCCAGGTGTCTATGCCAAGGTAGCTGAGTTCCTGGATTGGATCCATGACACTGTGCAGGTGAGTGTGGGGGCGGGGGTAGGGCTGGGAGGTTCCTGAAGGACCGGACTGGGAGACATTGTGAACCCCACCCCTTAAGTCTGCATCCTCCTGAGGGCTGGAAAGGAATGGACTAGGGAATGCCCATCGGAATGGGAGGAGGATGTGTTACTTATTGCATGGGATCCATTGGATTTCTAACAGTGGAAGAATTCACTAGATAAGAGTAGATACGAGTTTGTAGCTTAGATCTGCCATTTCCTGGGTAATTTTAGATAAGTTCCTACCCTTGGAAAACCAGAGTTTCTCGGGGATAACCATCTTGTCTGTATTATATGCTACCATGATGACTGAAGGAGATAAAACCTGCTTAGAACCTGGCCCAGTGCTATACTTGGGGGACATGACCTGTAGTGTTACAGATGTATGCATCTGGGCCTTCATCCCTGTTCTCTAAGGCGGTTACTAGTGACTGCCTTCCCTATTCTACAGCCAGAGCTTGGCATTTCTGCATCTAATTAACTTCTTGTGTGAGACTGAGCTTCATCTCTTCAGCAGTGGGAGGGCTGAGGGCAATAATGTGTATCAGAGCACAGTATTTGTGTTAAGTACCTCGCAGGGGCAGACTGGGATCATGAAAAGCATCTTTCCCTGAGGCTGTGCCTGGGAGCAGGTGGGAGATGATATTCTTGAGTTTCTAGGAGGATGTACGTGTCCATCTTCAGATCTGAGAAAAATAACCTAGAGAGCAGATATTTTTAGCTCCATCTGGTAGAAGTGGAAGTGAAGGATCTGAATGGCTAAGTGTGAGTTACTAATAGAAAAGTCACTTGGCTGGCTTCAGTGAAGCCATACTGTGAATCCAGACTCTTTGTCTTTTGTTCCATAATTCTATTCCCCAAGTCCTGTTGTTTCTTCTCCTCCAACCTCACTGCGCACCATGCTCATGTCTCCTGATCTCTCCGGCAGGTCTACTAACAGCAGGAGAGGCAGCAACCTCCACCCATACAGAAGGCTTGAATTTCTTACTACTGCATGCAAGATTATTACCACACACAGACGGGCAGCTGGGCGACCAGGCCTCTCCCCCCTTTCCCCCCCGGCCCTAATTTCTAGTCCCTCCACAACAGGGAGTCTCTGGGTCTGGGTTGGGAATGATGGGGGATCTTGGGGATGAGAGGGATGGAAGGGACAGACCAAAGAGGCTGTGAGAAATGGCCAGGAGCCTATACTTCTGCCGTCCTCAGCCATCAGTGTGGCTTTTGTGAGGATACCCAGAGTGCCCTTAGTCCTGCCTTCTCCTGACACCCAGGGCCTCCTAGAGGATCCCCTAGGGGCTTCTGGGAGGATGGGGTCCAGCCTCGTTCAGCCCAGGCTAATCCCATGCAAGTCTGGATCCTCCCCACTTCCCCACTGGTCTCCTCCATCTCCATTTCCATCTGGCTTTGGTGGGTCCTGCCTGGGGCAAGGACATTGTAACATGAGGAGATTTTAGAGTTGAACTAGGGTACTGGTTTTTTAAAATGACAGTTCTCGGAACTGTCTCAGAGTTCTGGTATTAAAATGAAGTGATGGTAAGACCCTGGTCCTGCCTTTCTTTCTTCTTTCTCACACATGCATTATAGAACAAGACTGCAATTTTCCTCCCCTCCATGTTTCTTCACACTTTGATACTGACTCCAGCTCACTGACTTCAGAATTTTGGTAGGTGCTTACTTACTTTGTTTGTTAAATTTGTCAAGTCTGTCTATCATAATCTGTAGTGCAAAACTCCCACCATCTAAGGACTCTGAGACTTCAAGTCTGAGCATCCATTAGATCGGCTCTCCCTGAGGGAAGAGTTGGCCTTCCAGAAAGGTTCAATTCTCCCTCTTAATTCTTGTTTCAGAACTGAGCCTTTTAGCTTGGGAAGATGACTTTCTGAGTTTGTGCCATTTGTATTTTCCTGGTGAAGTCTCTCCCCCTACTCTCTCCTCTCTAGCAATTAAAATGCGATTGGCATCTTGTTTCACAAAACTTGCAATGAATTTTTTTATGGTGCTTAACCAAGGAAATGCAATTAGTGTTTAATAAGAACAAAACTTGGTGAGTTTATCAGCATATTTAGTTGAGGGGTTATAAGGTGATCATTATTTCCTGGAGGGTTGCTACCTTTACAGGGAATGCCTTTTCTGCTTATGAGTGGTTCTCTACCATTTGAGCCACAGCTCAATATATTATTATTGTCCCCGTTTTATGGGCAAATGGATTGGTTCAGAGAGATTAACGTAGGGAACTTCTTAAGTCTCAGTGTTGGGATTGAACTGTGGATCCTGATGTCGATTCCTTATCACTACCTTGAACATGGCTGAGTGAAATGTTCTGATATTGCACAGAAGTGCAGAACTGGAAGGTACTTTTTGTCAGATCATGTGGCCCAATCACCTGCTTACAACAATATGTTACTGTGTGCTCCTTCTACAGGTGAAGTAACTGAAACCAGGAAATTAAAAGGCTCCTCCAGAGATTTCTCTCAGGAAATATTCTTAGGAACATCTGCTTCTTCCTGAGGTTCAACATCTGACTGAAACTATTCAAACTTACAATTCTCCTGTCTGCCCTAGGAGGACTGTAGAGTTCTAATTTGCTAAGAGCTCTCCCCCATTGACCTACAGAAGCTCCCAGTGGTTTTCACCAGTCAGATGGATAGACTCCAAATTCTCCCTTCCCTTTGTTAGCATCTGTGAGACTAGCTCTCAGGAAGCAGAGGAGTGAGTGGTGCTGGCTGGTTCTGTTCCCCTGGGCAGGACACTGGAATGCAGGAATAGAGGTGTAGGCTAGGAAGAGTAGAAGAATCAAGTCCAGAGAGGAATTAATGAGGACCAGCTGTGTGCCCAGCTGGGCGAAGCTCTGTAGGGAATTCAGAGGTAGAGAAGCCTGTTGTCTAGTTGGAGCAATGAGACTTATTTGCAATAAATTATTAGTGACCAGCCAGGCATGAAGCTGAATGGAGCAGTAGCAATTGTGAGGGAGCTCTAAGGATCTATTATTGAATAAATCAAGAAACCTGGGTCTTCCTCCCCAGGGTTTAGCATCCTACTTGCTTGGGTAGAACTTTTGGGGCCTCCTGAGATTTCCCAAGAAGTTGTTTCCTGGAGGCCATGTTCAGAGAGGAGCCTGTCTCTCTCTCTTTCCTCCTTCTCTATCCTTGTGGGGTCGCAAGGATGTTGTGGGGTGAGTGATTTTTTCTTTCCTTGCAACATTTTCAGTAGGTGGTGCTTTTCCTAAAAAGGGGTGCTGGGGAAAAGGGGCGGCTTTGTCAGGCTCTTTCCTGAATTTCTTTTAGGAGGTGCTAGCCTCAGATCTACAACAGAACAAAGGAAATGCTGGAAATGCTAAACACCAGTGCACTAGCTGTCAGGATATCTGTTTTTGTTTTTCTCCTCTGTCCTCTTTTGGCCTCTCACTTGGTATCCTCTTGCTGCTTCATAACTAGCCAGAGGAAAGCCCATCCCTGCCTTCCCCCCTAGACTTTGAACATCCTGGCTCTAACTTCCTATCAGGCACAATAAAATAAACTCTGGATTTGCCCTGTTCTCAGGACTCTGCTTCTTCCTAAACTGACTGGATTCCAGGATTACCACCCGTCTTTTATTATTATCTTTAAGTAGTTGCACAAAGGAGTTGTCATTCAACAAAGCAGTTTATGAATATGGTATATCTTGATCAATGTCACCCCTTTCAACATTCTCACTCATCCCTCCCCTACCCATCCTTTCCCTCACTCTTGTTATTTTGTAGGATATGCATTGGATTCTTGTCTGCATTCTCCTCTTTATTCATCTCCCCTTTACCCTTTGACCCCACACCCCTTTCATGTACCTGCTTCCTGGTGTTCTGTGTTTGCCAGACTTTGATTTTGCCTTTCTAAGGAAGTACATTATTTGAGATTTCCCTTGAATCTACCATATTTCAGTTACATTTGTATACACTTGCATACCACCCAGTGTATTTACATATATGCTTGAAACCCTCTCACCTCTAAGGAGCTCCCAGGGAAGTAGGGAGCAGATGGCTTTCCACTCCTAATGGGCATGGCTGGGCATCTTCACATGCTCCCAAGGCAGGGAAAAGCAAATGTGGATTTCCTCCAAGGGTGGATCACTTCAGGAAGATGAGTGGAGGATTTTTCACCTGCAGTTGATGCTGGAGTGGACCAAGCTGAGAAACAAAACAGAATGGCAACAGGAATGAGCCTCTCCCAGAAGAGCATGTGGTCTCAGCAAGGCAGAGACTTGCCAAGGGATGGGCTTGTCTTCCACACTTTCTCCCTTTCAGTGAACCTCTGGCCATGTCATCTGGGAAACAACACTATGAACTAAAGAGTCAGTAGTAGGAGTCAAACCATGCAGGAATGTGCTGCCCAGAATGGCTGGGTTTCTTGGAGTTTAGTTTCTTACATGTCAAATAGGGATCCCCATGGGATCTACCATATCCCATTCACTTATAATCAAACCTTTGCCTCTCGAGATACCTGCCCTACAACTTCCAGTTTGGAAGTCCAGGGGAGTCTGCTCCTTGACCAGATCTAAAGACACCAGTTTGATGACAGCTTCTCAGGACCTCAAGGCAGCTCTCCCTCCATGCCTGCCCTCTGGGTCTCTGGAATAACTACCAGACGAAAGATTTTCAAGATATCTTTCCCCATCTATGTGGGATCCTGAGCACAGAATTGAAGGACAGGTAAAGCTCCTTGACCTGGTAGTTTACTTGGGACTCTTCAGATCAGTGCTCAGCAACCCAAGCTGTGTGTGAGGCCTTACTGAGCCCCTTTGACACAGGACAGCGGAGGCAATTTCCTGCCTCTCACCCAAGATCATGCTTTCCTTCTTCTGGTTTTCCTTTGCAGCTCCTGAGTGGCCAGAAGGATCTCACCCTCCTGTTCCTCCATGCATGAGGTGGGCCAGCAAGGAAAAATCCATCAGATGGCTAGAGTCCAAACCACACTATGGACCTAGGCACATGCTGGGTTGAGAGGAGGGGAGTCTTTTCCTACTGCTTCTCAGGGTGCCCTAGCCCCCTAGTTTTCCCAGGACTGTCCTAGGAAACTCCATTCCTGGACAAACTGGGACAGTGGATCTTTTTTTTTT